CTGTTGATTTGTGCCGCACCTGTTGTCAACTTCTATCTTTATTTATGCCCTATTTCATTAGATATTTTTCTTGCTTGATCTTTTGTGCAGCGCCTTTCGAAAACCATGAAGACGGTTGCTAAAGGAATTCTGAAGGACCATTTGGTTCTTGTGGCAAACAGCATGACATGCACTGGGAACTTGAATGGGTTCCACAATGGTGGTTACAGGGCGACCTTTCGTTCATTAAAAGTTCAAGTACCTTTTACAGAGGCCACCTTGCTTGTAAGTTCATTTTGAGATTTCCTGATTTGTTTTATCACCACATGCACTATGCTGATTTCCTGATCTTCTGTAGACCCCTATGAAATGCTTCGAGAAGGCTGCCGAGAAATGCCATTCTGATTCATTGGGTTCTGTGGTCTCATCCTGTTCGTGGGGCAAGCATGCAGCACTTGGTACTGGGTCATCTTTTCAGATTCTTTGGAACGAAAATCAGGTAAGCTAGTTTTTCAACCCACTGGAGCTTATGATTCATATCAGTAATCGAGCTTGAGTCAATATTTAGTGGGGGTAAAAAGGTCTTCAGATGGTAGGGCCAATCAAACTATTTTCTTTCTTACTACAAAGATAATAATTTGAATGTTGCTATAAAGCCGTTCCACTGCATGATCCAACCATGTGAAATTACACTTCTATATTTTAACTAGTGGAGTGGCCTGTGCATTTGCACGGCTAGATTGACTACATATTGTAATATATTAAAATTTCACAGTCTACTGCAGAGTGCAGAGGTGACCGACGCATTTGTCACTTGCCTTATTGCACTTGTGTTTTTTATGTACTGCAATTACATACCTCCATATGCTTATATGCATGCGCATCTTACTCCTATTAATTGACTTATTGTTTCTCCATCTGAAGCAATGTAATTATTGATATCTTTACAAAACTACAAAAGGTGCTAGAACTTTTTCGCATCCCTGATATTCAACGCCAAAAGCTGACCACTTAAGAAAAAAGGCCAGCAATGTAAATTTTTGGATTATTACCTTTGGCGCTGTGAGGTCAGAGTGCAAATAATTGGAGCATGTGATAGGCTAGCAAATGCTTTGTTTTCTCTTTTGTGGCATGCATGTCAATAGGTGCTTTGTTTAATGAACACTATTTTCAATATGGTTGGGTTGTGCTCATCTATGAGGCAAAGGCTGAAAGCAATTAAATTCTTCTGTTTTCTAGGAAAGCAAATCAATAAATGCATATACTACATCACTAATTCTGCAGTAAGTCTTGTTGTGTTGGGGAGTCCTTGTTGTGTGTATGTATTATTCTCTTATCTGACTCATGGTTGATGCATACTGATGACCAGTGACCTTGTCGCTGATGCATGCTAGAGACCTTCTCGAGTATGCATGCATGGTTGCCTCTATCCCCATGGCATGATCATATGTCCATGGCAATGAGCTGTGTTGTCGCTGATGCATGGTCTATTGTAAAATATGCTAAACCGATATTTTATGTATTGCTGTAATTGTAAGTTTGTACCTTGGGCTAAACATAGTTCTTGAGGATCTTTCTTATTGCAATCCTGCCACAACTTTCTACTTGTGAGAAACCATCTAGCATATAGACACCAAGATTTCTTTAAATCTCAGCCGTTCTTCTTTGCTTTTTAAATCTTGCCTGTTCATTTTCTATCGTTTAGACACTATTATGAAGATCTAATGGATGTGATCTGTTTAGGTACTATTATGTAGATCTAATGGGTACAATCTGTTTAGGTACGGTTATGTAAATCTAACAGTTGTGATGTACTAATAAATAGATGGTCCACCAGATCAATGGCTCGATGTTTTACTTTTTTTGTTGTAGTTTCTAGTCTATGTCTATTTTTGACACTCTGCTTCTAGTATATAAATAACATATTTGATCATCGCAGCTGAAAAGCAACAAGGAATACGGTGATGGCCTGTATGATTTCCTGGCCTTGGTGAGGACCGACCAAGAAAAGGCTGCTTACACATTCTTGGATGATGTGGACTACCTTGTTGAAGACAACGCAATGGATGATATTTGCTTATCACCGGAAATGGATGGGATCCATGGTATGCCCACTTTTGAAGATGATCCTGAACAGCAAAATACTGAGAAGGACAGCTCATGGGAAAATGGCACAACGGCGGGTGCAAGCTGGGAACAAAATGCAAATGCTGGGAATGATTCTGGTAACTGGGGAGGAGGCTCAACAGTGGAGAATGATTCCACTGATTGGGCAGGCTGGGGCACTGGACCTGCAAATGACAAAAAGATTGTATCCGGAGAACCAGCTGAACCCGACACTTGGGCTGACCAGGGTGCTAAAAAGGATACGGAAGGAGGCTGGAATAATGCAGCTGCAGCTGGTGACACAGGAGCTGCAAAACCAGCAGAGCAAGACAAGTCATGTTGGAATGCGCCCCCAGCAGTGGAGAATGATTCCTCTGGTTGGGGAGGGTGGGGCACTGGAAACGCAAAGGACAAAAATATTGCATCTGAAGGATCAGCTGAAGTCGATACTTGGGCCGATCAGAGTGGTAAAAGGGATACTGATGGAGGTGGTGCTAGCTGGGACAAAATGAAAGTGAAGGATCACAATATGCAGCAAGACCAATGGGGTCATGTGCCAACCCAGAATGTTGATGCACAGGATGATCCATGGGGGAGTGTAGCAGGTGTGGCTCAACCTTCTACCGCAAAGCATATTGATGCACAGAATGATTCCTGGGGGAGCATGGCAGCGAAAGCTCAAACTTATGCAAGGGATGATTCCTGGGGAAGTGTGGCAGCTAAAACTTCCACTGCAGAGCCTATGGACACAAAGAATGATTCCTGGGGAAGTGTGGCAGCTAAAGCTTCTATCACAGAGCCTATGGATGCAGGGAATGGTTCCTGGGGGAGTGTGGCAGCGAAGGCTCAGACTTCTACTGCACAGCAGGAGTCCTGGGGTAATGTGTCTGCTTCACCATCAGATAATGCGTGGGGTGCTGCTCCGGTTTCCCAGGGACCTGATAACTCGGATGCAAAGCAGCCAGATTCTTGGGATGGCTGGGGTTCTGCTGCTCCAGTTTCCCAGGGAGATAGTTCAGATGCAAAGCAGCCAGATTCTTGGGATGGCTGGGGTTCTGCTCAAGCCGATGACTCGAGTACTGATAAATGGAAGACCAATGCTTCTGGCAACAACAAAGGCTGGAAAGCAGATGGATGGGAGGCCAAAGAAAACCGGAGGGACCAAAGAGACAATCCAGGCAGGCCCCAAATGAGGCCTCCTGTTGAGAGGCCACCAAGACCACGGTACGAACTGCCAGCTGAGGCGAAAAAGGTTCTACAAGAAATTGAACCCATTGTAACAATGGTCAGAAAGATCTTCCGTGAATCAAGGTAAATCATCTCACAGTTTACTTGTTTGCTTTGTGTGCTTCATGGTTGCCAAACAGTTATTTTGTTTATACCATCTTAAATATATTTGTTTTTGCCATTATCTTAAATGTTGCAGTGATGGCATAAGGCTTCCCCTGGAGGATGAAAAGTTTATCATAGAAAAAGTTCTGGAGCACCACCCTGAAAAGGAAAAGAAGGTGTCTGGTGAAATTGATCATATAATGGTATGGATTCTTGTGCTACCTTTTGCCTTCTATATATATATTTTTAGTTAAACACCTTTAGCTTTATTCTGAAGACTTAAATCCCTGAGTTGTTGAGATGAGCTGCTCCATCTCTCTAAAAACTTGGCCACCTGCTGACTGCACTTGCCTGCTTGCCACAAAATAACTACCACCTGACAGTCTGTTTTTGGCACCACTCGCTGATAGCCCTTCTCAATGGCTAGCATTAAGCCATGAGTTCCTGCAGTTGTTGGATCAACAATCCTTAGTATTTCGTTTCAAGCAGCCAAGAGTTGTCCTTCAGCATTCTGAGCTACTGTCCCGATCTGGCAGCTCAACCCTGAGATGGAATGTGTTATTGTCTGACGCATCATAATAAAACATGCAAGATCTTAACGGCCTCGTTTGATTTCGCAGGTCAACAAGCACCACGTTTTCCAGGACAGCCGGTGCTTTTACGTGGTGTCATCAGATGGGACCCAAACAGACTTCTCATACATCAAGTGCATGGACAACTACGTGAGGAAGAACCACGAGGAGCATGCCGAGCTCATCTGTGAGATGCACTTCAAGAAGCGCAACCGCGATCGACCACCAACGGTCGACGGAGGCGCGGCACCAGCCACTGAAGCCGGGGCGTCTCAGCCGGCTCCAGGCGAGGACTTGGAAGCCGCTCTGCCAGGCCCGCCGCCAGGAACTCCACCTCCGTCTGCGATCACCCAGCAGGAGACTCCAGCTTCTCCGGCTGCGGCTCCAGAAGATGATCTGCCTCTGCCTCCTCCCCCTCCACTGACCCAGCATGAGGAGGATGGAACGCCAGAAGATGATCTGCCTCTGCCTCCTCCTCCTCCACTGCCCCAGCAGGAGGCTGGAGCGCCAGGTTCAGCGCCAGAGGCAGGAGCCGTCGATGACAAGTGGGCAGGAGGTGGCGATGACAAGTGGGCGGGAGGCCCGGATGACAAGTGGGTCTAGTGGTTGCTTAGGGCGTGGAACTGAACTGAACTGAACTGGTTGTACATAGATGCTCGTAGCGTCCCCTGCTGAAAAACCTTTCTGCTTGCCCTGACAGACTTGATGTAGAGGGGTGGTGGCGGTAGCCGTTGTTAGACCTGATGATGGGCTTCGTTTCCTGTCGTATGCGATGCGTCTTCTGGATGAACCCTGTAAATTCTGGGAGGTCGCCCCGTGTGCTGCCTATGGTAATCGCGACTAGTTTCGACCCTTGTTTGATCTCCTTGGTTTCTTGTTGGCGTGGTGTGTTTGTTTACTTCCTCCGTCTCTTTTTCTTTTGGATCGTAATATCTGGGGAATGTCTTCTCGGAGCGTTCTCCCCCGTGAACCCCACAGCAGTGTTTTCCACTGAACTGGCAGTAACTCATAATGTCCAAAAAAGAAAAACTTGTAATGATCTCGTCAAGCCTTCCGATCCCGATCGGACGCCCGAGAAAGCCCGACCCCGCGCCACCTAGACAAAAGAGTCGGTCTCGCCTCCTCACACCCCACTCGACAGGCTCCACACCGGACCACCTCGCCGCCACCACCGCCCCGCCGCGTCCCCCGCCGCGATCAACCGCCACTTCCCCCTCGCCTTTCGCCGGCGGCCTCCCCGCCACCGCCATGCAGGCCCGCGTCGTCGTCTTCCCCATCAGGGGCCGCGCCTGGTGTTTCGCCCGCCCGCGCCCCGTCCTCCCCGCCACCTCCGCCTCCGCCTCCGCCGCGGGCAGCGGCGCTCTCCTGCCGCCGCCCACCCTCAAGGACCTCTGGCTCGGGATCTCCGCCGGCGGCCGCACGGCGCCCGAGAACGCCGAGGCCGTGGCCGACTTCGTCGCCGACAAGGTGCTCGATGGAATGCCCCCCACTCTCTCCCCCCTCCTCCGCCCGCCGCATTCATCCTTTCGCTATGCGTGTCTCTTAGCCTGTGCCTGCGGTATACGGTCTTAGGTGGGCATGAATGAACCGTATGATCTCGGCAGCTCCAGCCGAATGTTTTTGGTTCACTTGATGTGGCCGCAGCAAAACCGGCTGATCTTGTTGATCCGATGATGCTAAACCGTCCTGGATCTCACCGTGGCTGCGTTCTATTAATTCGTAGAATTTCGTTTTCCAATGTTTAGTTAACATGCATTGATATGTACTGACGTTTTCAGTTGAAATCAATCTGTTGCGACTTGCGAACACTGAACCTTGTTGTGAAATGCCATCTTCCACAGATTAATTTCTAGTTTTCTACTGTCACCTTGTTGAGAAATGCCATCCTCCACAGATTAATTTCTAGTTTTCTACTGTCTGTTCATGCTTGTAAGTGAGATGTGATATACTTGGGCCTCCACAGGTCCTTTCTTCAGCAGGGAAATGCATTAACAAGTGCGTGAGGTTTATTTTGTCTAAGGATGAAAATGGTACAGAAACAGTCTTTCAGAGGTAAAAATATAAAATTATGAAGACATAAATGGGATGACGACTTCCGGTTGAAACACAAATGGAAGTGAAATTTCTGGATTTACACACAGAAATTTCTGTTTTTCTTATGCATGTATTCCGTCCTCATAGACAGCACATAGCTCTGTCTGTTTCCATGTCCTTTCCACCCTACTTGTATTCCTCCATAGTAAGATCCATTGCACTAAAGCATGTGCCACTGTAACATGTTTAACCGGGCAGAAGTTACTCGCCAGGGAGAACCAACTATTGATTGAGTAACTAGCATATTGTTTTCGGGTGTGCAGATGAACAGGGCGTGGATTGGTTTCGGCAGCGCGCCGGAGGGATCAGTAAAGAGGCGGATCCACAGGTCGGGCGTTTAAGATTTGGCGTGTGTTGTGTGGAAGGGCGTGGCAAGATCGATCAGACGCTGAGCTTTGTTGTGGTGCAGCTTTGGGTTAAAGCTGCTTTCGCGGGTGCGGCCATCAGAGACTCTGTTGAAGTCACTGACCAAGGATGTCTCCATGCTTGAAATCGTCCACCCTGCAAGGTAATTGTTGACAAGCTTGCGTTATTGTTTCTTCATGGCTGTAAAATATGCATGCCAGTTGAGTTGTATTTTTTTTTCTTTGGGTTTGTGGTGTTCAAATAGTTGGAAGGTGCTAGTGCTTACTGAGTTGGTCTTCAAAACAGTTGGTCTTGTATTGCACATCTTCTGATGTTCGTGATTCTGAATGTAAATAGTACTACCTCTGATCCATAATAAGTGTCACAGTTTTGAACTAGCCCGAGTGCAAAACAGCGACACTTACTTTAGATCGGAGGGAGATCTGTTATTACTGAAGGTACATAAGTAATATGCCATTAGCACGAAAAAAAATCCTATGAGACCGGGTCTCTTTTCCAATTACGTGAGACCCCACCCAGAAAACGACACGTGTCTAGCACATATCTCAAAGCATCTGCTTCCCCAAAGATATCCCCAGCCGAGCAATCTGTTTAAACCGTGGAGCTCAGACTATTAGCATCTTCTATCTCCTTAATCCCATCTAGTGTGCAGCTTCAGCTAGCGAGCCATGACTCAGAACCAATCGCTCAATTGGTGATGGCTACTGGCGAACCACTTCTGCTCTATTCCAAAACTACAGCATCGTATTGCTAGTTTGTTACTAGCTTGTTCTTTTATCCTTAGCCATCTTCGTTGTACAAAAACCATCCAGCCTACCGGCCTCCAAGGCCATCGCGGCATCGCCGGTTCACTGTACTGCAGAGATGTGATCAAAATGACATGCTCTGCACCTGCAGATCGCCTCCATCGGCGTGGCCATGGCCGTACAGAGTGAGAGTCAGGCAGGCAGGCCGGTTACAGCCACGGGTAGTCAACTGTCATTAGGAGAAGGCTAGCCACGAGATAGACATTGCCGGCCGATGGAAATTTGGCAGAGATGTAAAGCTTGGAGAAGAAGATGCTTTGAGATGGGTGCCAAACCCGTGTCATTTTCTGGGTGGGGTCTCACGTGATGGGGAATGAGACCTGGTCTCATAGAATTTTCTTCCCATTAGCAGGGAATATGCATTGCCGCCAATGATAGAACTAGTTAACTATGAGCAGGAGACAGACATATGTATATATACTTTTAGTATATTTAGATGGGTTCTGTATGATGAACTTTGTGCATATATCTGGCTTCAACAATTTTTGCAAACTTGTCTTTCCCTGCCATGCAGTTACCTGGCATTTTTGAACTCACATGCCTTCTCTTACCCCCCTAAGTATTTATTCTAAATCATAATTTGTAACTGCAGTATAAATCCTCGTCTCGTGCGCCGACGCCTGCGGCACATTGCTGTTAGGTGATTGCTTTATGACCTTACAAGTGTATTGTTTACTTCGATTTAGATCTTTCCTGACACCTTTGTCTCTACATGGTTTTTGAGTATTAGGGGTGCAGCTATTCACAAAAAATATCTGTATGGCAGCATTTGCATGCTTCCAGTAACGAGCGTTTTCATGGTAAGAATTTAAGTGTTAGCTACAATCAATGAAAGTGTGCCTATTGGATTTATTCAAATGTATTCCAAAGATATTGCTATTTTGTATCTGTCGTTGATTTTACTGCCGTTAAGAGTTGATCAATGATATCATGAGATCTTCTTTGTGATGGTTACATCATGTACATATTTGTTTTTGCTGCATTCTAGCCTTCTAGGTTGCGCACATGTCAGTTGGTTGAGGTCTATTACTTGAAGCAACTTCCTTGTGTGCTCGCTCTACTTTGTGGCTTAGTACTTCAAATTAACAAAAGGAAAATAATAAGGTCATTTTGTGTATTGTTAAGATTAGAGAACCAGATTTAGGTTTGTGGAAGTATGATTTACATTCACAATGTTCATTCAGTTAATGAAAGATAAAGTCATGGCATGTATTGTGTGCTGATTGTTTTTGTGGAAGTGTGGTTCATTCTATCCTGTAAATGGTTTAGTAGTTAATCATTTATGATGTAGTTATTGTATTTAATTATGCTGGTTACTGGTTTTACCATCATCTGGTTAATCAAAGGATCTGATTGTATGATGCATTGTTGTATTTTATTACATAAGACAAATAACTTCCATAACAGAACACTCTTTATTCATCTACAGGTACTGCCTTTGCCAAACATACCATTTTTTTGGACGCTGTTTCGAGCTTATTCTCACTGGCGAGCTCTCCAGGTTCAAAACATGTCAAACATATTCCAGTTTGTTTGAATTTCAACTTGTGAACATATACTCCCTCAGAAGTCAGCACTGGTATGTAGTGTGTAGGGCACAATTTGTGCACAAAAATTCCAGAGGATATAAACTATAGAGGGCATGTAAGTCAAATACGTTATTGAAAGTCTTGTTAATTAGGAAGGGAGTTATTGGCAATGACGCAGTTGCTACTTGGTGACTGTTGGATGGAGCTATACTGCATTGCATGTCTTCTTTTGTTGGTAGAGAGCTAGAGATTACACTATGACATACATAGCAAATCTGTGTCAGCAATACATGAATGGAAATATGTAGGTTTTTTTGACATTTATTTTGATGCAGGGAAGCGAGAGACTCCACTTGCTAGTTTCAGACTGCTCAGGTGAAGGGAAAACCCTTCTCGAGAAGAAAAATGGAATGAGTACAAGAAAGGATGACGACTCACAGTATGCTCCGTGGGTAAGTTGACTGTAACTTCAAAATGAGTAAAACCTTCAGATTCTTATATCCTTGGGGTGCCTCTGGCAGTTGGTCATCTCTTATTTGTTGTTTGAATTAAAGTCGGTTCTGAACGAATAATGCCATGAACAGTAACATGTATATTACCATCATTGATGATTAAACATAGGACCTCTCATTACAGATAAGACATACTATTAGCTAACTGGATTCTTATCACTTACCTACTGTGACCATATTAAGAGAACCTGGAATAAATTTCACATAATTGATTTAGACATGTGTTATACTCAAATATGTCCACTTAGTTATCTTTTTAAATGTACGCTCCTAGGAATTGTGCAAAAGAGATTTGTGGAAGTATTTAAACTAAAACAATTTATCTACTTTCATAGAGTTCTTCAGTTTACTAGGCATGATTTGTTTGACCTTGGGTGTATGCCATGTGTGGTGTATGCCCTTGCATACCAGCAAGCAAGCATATGTGTGCACAGAGAGTCATGGATGACCATGGCTTTGGATTGACGAATTTATGTTATAGCTTTCACCGGTAGCTATTTAATTCAAAAACGGATGAGTATTTTTTGGCATGCCAGACTTCACCGTATAATGAGAAATACTCCCTTTGTAAAGAAATATAAGAGCATTTAGATCACTAAAGTTGTGATCTAAACGCTCTTATATTTGAGTAATCGTCACAATCAGACAATCAGTTACTTTAGTATTACCTTTCTGTAGTTCGTATAGTTGTTGACTGGTTATACACCTAATGGGTGGTGTGTACAGTTAGCCTGTCTGGATTATATACAACAATGATTAGGTGATTGGTGCAACCACTTGTTCATCTTACATGGTAATCACAGCATGATGGTAAAGATGATATTTGCACCTTGGCCTGAAGTACTTACCGGTTTTGGCATAGCTTTCATAGTGAATTTGTAGTTTTCTAGCAATCAAAAATCAAGCGTGTCGATGTTTTTCTTTTTTGGTACGTGATGTAATAGTTTTGTGTTGAATTTTAGAAGTGGCATTCTCATTTTCACTGCAATTAACCCTGAATATTGTTGGATGGGCCGGCAAATATTTAGAGTTCCATATTTAGCATCATAAGATGATTGTGTTTGGTATGTGCATTTGTTTAATATAATATATCTCCAGAAGTTAGGTCCAAATAAGACATTGGGGTCTGGGGTAATGGTTGTTTGCCAGTCTACTCTTTGTTCGTTCTGCGGCCTCAAGTTTATCTAGATGAGGTTGTTATATTTGAATGACTTTATGTTAGGATAGTTTCTTTGGTGCAGTCGGGGTTTCGCCCTGCAGCAGGTGTTTCGATGACGAGCACCTGCAGTGGGTTTCCCGGCTGTGCGTTGAACTCGCTCTCCCCTTTCCCGTCTCCTTTCTCTGGTCATGGACAGATGTATTTCCGTTATTCAGTTAATGGAAAGGGGTTCAGAAAATATATATTTGAATGACGCTTCTGATATCATGCCCATGGGGCCTTACGTGTGACTAAAATTATATTTGAGTGGCTTGTACCATGCATGTCATGTCCTGAATGGTAAAATGTACTCCCTCCGTTCCTAAATACAAGTCTTTTAAGAGATTCCACTATAGACTACATACGGAGCAAAATGAGTGAACTTATACTCTAAAAGGCGTCTATATACATCCGAATGTAGTCTCTATAGTGTGGAATCTCTAGAAGGACTTATATTTAGGAACAGAGGGAATATATAATATAAGATTACACAATTGAGAAATTGATGATCAAACATGGAACCTCTCATCACGACATGTGATATACTATTAGCTAAACTGAGTTCTTATCACTTACCTACTGTGACCATATTGAGTGAACCTGGAGTATATTCACAATGAAGTTTGTCAAAAGGTTCCATGGAGGGTTCTTCGGGCCGCTTGATTGGTCTAGACATGCTGCGTCTTTAAGTATACGCACCCAAATGAGATTTGTGGCAGGAAGTAGTTCAATTAAAAAGTCATCTACTTGAACAGAATTCTTCTATTTAGTAGGCCTGATTTGTTTGACCTCGGGCGTATGTCCTTCATACTTACATGCAAGCATGTGCGCTATGACCATGACTTTGGATGGATGAATTTATTGTTAGTAGCTTTCTTCTGGCATGGCAGACTTCCTGATAGAACAATCAATCATTGAGCAATCATCACAATCAGACAATCAGTTCTGTCAGTATATCTTTCTGTTGCTCATGCAGCTTGGTGTGGCCAGCCTGGGTTATTAAACTTATTATAGTACTACATCATTAGGTGATCGGTGCGACTGTTTGTTCATCTTACATGGGTAATCACAATAGTGAAAAAGAGGATACTTGCACCTTGGCCTTGAGTAGTTACCAGTTTTGGCACAGCTTTTACTGCGAGCCTGCGAATATATAGTTTCTCTGGCAATCAAGCATGTTGATGTATAACTTTTAGTTGAAATATAAAAACGATATTTTCAGTTTTACTGCAATGAACCATCATCTTGTTCCCCACAGAGTTCATTGTTTTTCTTCACTTATTGGAGTTCTCACTTCTCAGCGCTCTATAACCTGCCCCCACTACGAATGGACAGACAAATCTTCAGAATTCCATATTTAGCATCATAAGATGATCAATGTTCTGTAATATAATACATCTCGGGCAGTTTTGTCCAAATAAGAGTCATTGAGTTGTGGGGTAATGGTTGCTTGCATGGTTGCTCTTGCGCCCCTCTTATCATATGCATGTAGGCTCATGTGTGACTGAAACTATATTTGAGTGAATTGTAGCATCCATCTCATTTCCTGGATGGTCAATTATCTTACTGTGGTTATTTCATTCAACAGAACTTTCAGCCATCACAGAAGCTCGATGGGTTCCTTAAGAGGAGAGGCTTGGACCAGGGTCTGGATTGCGACACTATTTCAAGGATATGCCAGACGTACGACTTGGACAAGGTTGATGTCCTGAAGTACAGGGATCTGGAGTGGCCTAGCTCAGCTTCTCGCACTACCTAGGGTGGGCTAGCTCAGCTTCTCGCACTACCTAGGGATTCTTTGCCCACCGATGTCTGTACGGTAAAACAACTCTACTGGATGATAACTGCTGGAGGGTGATCAGGCTGGATCTTTTTTGCTTGGGACATGAACATTTAACCAGCATGGCGGATCATGCGGTGCCCGCATCAATCTGCTGTTAGCTTAGAAAGCTGAGAAACTAAGAGGACCTCTGAAACCGTAGCAACCCCATATGGTGACCCCCCCGTTGCTCTGTACCCAGGGTGTAAATAGAGTTTGGTGGTGACCTTCTACACCTGCCATTTCAGCACCTCTGGGTGATAGGAGACTTTACCTGCTCAAATCAACAGCTGGGTACTGAGGTTGAACATGACCTTTTTTATTTTTGTTTTCTTCTATCCATGCATCTGAATTCTGAATCCATCTTTGGTCAGATCTGAATCTTGCCAGGATCTTGTCTCTGCAAAGCAAGCAAAAAGAAACTGGTCTTTATGCTGACGTGTTTGTGGTGATTTTCACTTTGAAGACCAGCTTCTTATTGCTTATCTTTTGACTGATCCAACTCTACTTACTACATCTTCCATTGATTGCCATGTCATATGAAGGGTTTTTTAGTTGGAAAGGCCGGCTGCCAACTAAACCACGGAGAAAAAGTTTCGAAAACGACGTGGATACATCATGTGTTGAGCGCGATGTCTTTTTGGCTATCTTTGTCGCAGATTGTGATCCACGTTGGTCGCCTACGTTGATGAGATGCCCAGCCTGTGGCATGCCCATGCACCGCCTAACAAGTGGGTCGCTGCTGTCAACTGAAAAAAGAGTGGATCGCTCGATCCAGTAACTGGGTTCATGATGAAACAACCGTAAGTCCCAGTATTTTGAGTAGTGTGCTTTCCGATCACGAAACAACAGCATACACAAAAGAGAGTGGGATATAACTTGAAATTGTAACCTTGTGTGATTATCGGAAGCAAACTACACGTACATAGAAACTACCAAGTGAACGACTCACGCTCTATGGACAAATCCGATGGAATGCTATGAATTGCTAGTCCGATCTCTAGTGGCTTCCTTTTCTTTTTAGGCCTCCTTTGGTTTGCAGGAATTCTGAATGGTAGGAATTTTGTAGTTTTCTTTTCTTTGGAACCCTTTGATTTGTAGGAATATAATCCTATCCTTTCTATAAAACAATAAATTCCTGTTCCTATACATGATAAGAAACAACCCTTTGTACTGTATTTCAAAGAAAAAAATATTAGCCTAGATGCAATAAAAAATATATTATATCCTTTGAACCAAATGACATATCTTTCTCTATAGGATTTGAGATATATATTATCTCACGTTCTATGGCTTTCTTATTCCCATGATATTCCTATCCTATGAACCAAAGGATGCCTTACTATATCCATCTCACCTGCTGAGGCCTTGCATTGCCCCTAGCTGCCCACCCCCTTTGTTCCCCGTGCTCCAACCACTAATTTTTGTTATTCAAATAAATCACATGGCACCATCATCAACCAGGGCAACCATGATCCCATGAATGACTTCTTTCTTATACGCACGCAACGTCTGAAGATATAGATATCGGAATTTCTAGTTAACGACTTGTATGATAGTACTCATGGTCCATGTACCCAATCATGTAGTAAGAGGAATCAGACGATTTGAGTGAAGTTTTTTGTAACGTATCAACAACACATGTTTTAATTCTATAGTCTTGTCAACTGGTATCCAGGGGAAGCTTCAAAACCTTGTATTTATGGTGTTTAGTGATGGTCGAGCAATACCTTCTCTATCTTGACGTCTATGTGGACCATCGTGGTTGATGAGGAGGAATGCAAATACACTAGTTGTTGTAAAAATAACATTTGCAACTCAACAACTGGAGACCCTCAACATGGAGATGGTGCACAAATGAATTAAAAGACCAAGAGAGGGACTCTCCTACCTCGAGGCAACATCCTAATAATCTGATAACATTATGATGGTTTTTATCGCAGAGAGGATGGCTACCTCATCTACGAAGCTCTCGATCTCGCTTCATGCATTAGTTCTTGACTTCTTCATAGCAACTACTTGTGTCTCATCAAAATTATTGGTCCAAGAAGAGCATCTCACAACAATATCATACTCAAGTACACGAAAATAGCGTACTATATATGTGTGTGTGTGGGT